TTCCTAGAAGACCCAGATTCAAATCCTAGCACCCACAGGGCAGCTTGCAACTGTTTATAGCTCTCATGAAGATCTGACATCCACACAGACATACATGCAGGCAAAACCCTGACACACACAGAACAAAAGTAAAATTCTGAAAGCACCAAAACAAATAAAACAATACAAAAATTAAAATAAAATAGAATTACACCAATCATGAGCCTGATATATCTGATTAGACTACTCCTTGATCTCAGTCTCAAAGAATAACCTATATTATTTTTTCAAATTTAGGGATGTGTTAAACTGCTGGGCCTAGGTTGGCTGGAACTCCAAGTTCTTAAATATGAACATTAAGATGAGAAAGAACAATTTAGCTGAAGAAAGCATCATGAAATAGCTATGGAAAACCTGCTATGATAGCAAAGACTTTTCTAAAGCACTAAGTATGTGCCTTGAATCTACTAAACATTTCATCTATTATTTTATTTAACTGTCACAACCCTTTAACTTGGGAATAATTATCTTGCAACTGTTGGGAGAGGAAACGATAGGCCAGCCTGATAATATTACAGAAATTTAAGTGGAAAGAAAAATAGAATCGGAACCCAGCACAGAGCAAATAGAACTTCAAAGCCCTCTAGCCTGCTGCCTCTCCTAGTGAAGGCTGCAGGGGGAGCCATTGAAAGCTTTTTAAACTAGAGTGATTGATTCACAGGGCTGTTGCCTTGGGGAAGCTACAGAGGTGAATCTAGAAGAGAAAAGGGGCCTGTGGTAAAATAGGTGGGAAGTGATGTCAGCATGCACTGTGTCATGGATGAAGACAGATTAAAGGAGTTCCTTAGGAGGTAAAACTATCAGTTCTTAGTAATTAGAAAAACAGTAAATGCTCATCAGATAGGTGCACACATGTAATCCCAGCACTGAGAGGCGTAGGCAGGTGTATCTTAAGCACCAGGGCAGCCTAGGCTGCATGGTGCAACCTGTCTCAAAGGTTCACAAGTAGAGGTTAGTGAGAGAGGAAACCCAAGACTTTGACTGGGGATCTAAATGACACCTGACTATCAGCTATCAAAATAAAGGAACAATGGGTTTCATCAGGAAGTACCTACAAAATGTCAAGTGCAGAAAAACTCCCTAAAACCAAGAGCCAAGTCTAAAATCATGTCCTAGTGATCAGAAAATAGTCTTCAAAACATCAAAAATATAAGGCAGATATAAAAAAATAAGGCAGATATAAAAGTTTTCAGGCTAAGAGTGCAAAAAAATACTTTGTACTATCTTTTAAAAAGTATCACTACAATAAAACTTTTAAAATTAAAATATATAAAAAATAAAGTATTACTACATACAGAAATCAATAAAGGGCATTCCATAATTTTACAATGTGTCAGTTTGATATATCTTCCATCTCTTACACAAGCTTGTTTTTTGCTTGACCCTCCCCCTCTAAATTTATATCTTTTATACAAACTACAATAATACATAGTTGGTTTTTTCTTTCATTCCACTGTCACTCCTGTAACTTGCCAAGAAGTTAGTTCATAGCCTCCTACTTGACTTTCCTATAAAATATGACCTACTTCACATCAGCTCACTCCAGTAACAGTTCCTAGACCTTAAGCACACTGTTCATCCAAGGGGCTCTGCAGAGCCTAGGGTGCACCTCTACAGATGTGGTAAGTTACTCCATTCCCATTCTACACAGTTAGGAAGCTGGCAGAGGAAACAAAATATCTTGGAAATAATCACAAAGTCAAACGCCAAAAATAACAATTTTTAGTCAATCCATGAGAAAATACTGCCCCTAGCTGAAATAACATGAATTTAGTATTAGGAGGAAGCAAAATGTAAAACAGTGCTTGCTTTCAAGCCAAGTCTTACTTCTAAAACTGAGTAAACCTCAGAATTAAAACATGTAAGATCTTTAAATATATAACCATTTTCTTCTAATGCCAGACTCATCCATAATGCCAAAGATTATCTAATGAGTTACGTCTATTGATAGACGCTCTTTTTTATTTTACCCATTTAAGAGACCATAGGAGTCTGTGAGTATACACCAAGAAGTAGCTTTTACACAAACTTAACTGCTTAAAAATGAGTGCTTAGAAGTATGTAATAGAACGAGTCCCTACAAATATGTTGGGGTAATAAGTTTAAAGTTGAAATGATCAATACTCAGAAAGTTTCCCAGCCACCGTTCATTTATATTTCCAAATACCCGACTGTCTAAGTTAAGGCACCGTTTTTATTTCATGAAAATTCTTACATTCCTCATTCTTTTGGCTAAGATAAAAGTATAAAAGTCTCACATGCTTAGAAACAACACAACTCAAGTTGTAAAACTAACTTTATGGTGTCTTTGTGCATTCTTAAATGCACAAGTCAGAACAAACTATGTTGCATTATTATACAGCATTTGCACTGTGCTCACGATCAGAACCAGTGTGTGCCCAATTTTAACCTCGAGTTATGTATGAGACAAATGCAAATTCTCACAACTTCACATATTGTTCATAAAATGTGGTTTACACCGTATTCAACCTATTAATTCTAATAATCACTTTTTTAAAAAAAGTTTCCCAAAACGCCAGCATTCCTTAGACCTCATCTATTATGCCCTCTTCAACAGCTCTTTGTGCACAACTTTATAGAGATGAAGCTGCATATGATTTTATGTGTAATGTATCCTATAAAAGTAGTGATCAACTAGTAGAAAAAAATTTCTGAACAATACATTCACTATTAACAACCCTGACACGTTATTTCAACCCGATAGATACAATAATTCAGGCCATTAGTAAATACAATATCCTACACCACACCCCCCTCCCCCCCCATCACGGGAGCTTTTAACATTACCATAACAATAAGAGCTAAAAACAACTTAATGCTCAGGTAACATAAGGAAGTACCTTTAAGATAACCAAACTAAAAGCTACCAGTCTTTTGACTGCCGAAATTAATGTATTCCACAAAGATTCTCAAAGCAGTATTCAAACCAAAACTACCCTCTGCTCTTTGGCACCTGATTCCCAACGTCGGAATAGAAGTTGCCACACATCCACAGATGTAAAAAGCACAAACTGCAAAGTCAAACAATCATAAATGGTAAACTCATTTAAATTATGAATAAGCAAGTCATTGATCAAATTCCCAAACCAGATGTCTCCTCCCTATAAAGCAGGGGTAGAAAAGTAATTAAAACTGTAGATACAGATTCCAGAAAAAAATGATAAACTTCTCCATCCCAACATTCACAAGTTTTCAACATCAAAATTCATTCACCTCCTATTCACACCTAATGCATATCCACTGCGAATATCTGAAACTACTTCGAGTCTACTTCTAACAGTTTTAAAATACACTCCCCCACCACCACCAAGAACCCTCAGGTAACCCAGGTGAAACGCTACAGCGGATGCCCTTGGCCTGGGCCGTGAGAAGTCAATGGTGGGAGAGCAATAACCATCAAGAAATCTAGATCCTTTTCCAGCGCTACTGTTACCAAGCAAAACAATCATGGGCCCAGAAAGATGGCAAAGAAGAGTGGGGTCGTTTTAATCCCAAGAGAAAGGCGCATGGGGGTGGGTAGGGGTGTGATCCCAAGAGAAAGGGGTGCGGAGGAAAGGAGGGGCGCGGAGGAGCAAACTTAAGTATCTCTAAGCATCTCCCAGACTCACACAACAAAAGCAAACCGTAGAGTCTGCGTGCACTTAGAAGCACCAGATGGAGTCCCCGGGGCTGAGACAGTTCAACAGACAGACACAGTGGGCAGTGGATAAATCAAACAAGCAGTGACGCGAGTGGAAGGGGATGCTAAGAGAATGAGACACTACATAGGGGAGACAAAGCCTCTAGGGGGTAACTAAGGACCAAAGAGAAAAAGGTGAGACGGGATACACACGAGAAAGACAATGGAAGAAAGAGAACGGCAGGAATCTGGTGCCAGGGCTGTGGCAGGTCACCCGGCTACTGAACAGAAGGATACAACAAAGAGGCACCGGAGGAAGGACAGTGGAGCGGAGGTGCAGAGGGGATGCGGGGCGCGCAGCGGCTCCCACCGAGCGCCTAAGGCGGCGAAACAAAGGGCCGGGGGCAGAGTAGCGGGGGGCAGCGCGCAGAGACAAAGCGCTCGGGCGCCCAGGGCAGCGGCTGGGCGGACAGGCGACGCGGGCCACGGGGAACAAAGCTGCGCCGGGATCCCGGCCAGGCCCGCCGAGGGGGCGCGCGGCGGGCACGGTGCCCACCGCCCCGCGCGCCGGCCGCACTCCGCCCGCAGCCGCCGGCCTCGTCACCGCCCGCC